ACAGAGGGCCTCTTTAGGACTCGGTAACAAGCACGGGGAGCCAACACACAGCACATCCTGTGTGAGCCTAGGCGGTAGTTTGCAGCCTCATACGGATCACTTAATTCGGCGACAGGAAAAGCATGCTGAAGACAAAACATGCCACCAGATGTGTCAATATAACGGAGTGGAGCCTAACTAGGGTTCATTATCGGCACCACTTCTGGGCCTCCTTGCAATCAGACAAACTGAGAACCACAATGAAGTCCGAGGGCGGCGCTGACATTTCGGCGAATAGCTGCGCGGCCCACGCCGTCACTGTCGGTGGAGGCGACGAGCCGGGAGGCCGAGAGGTCGGCTTGGGAGCGGCCGCATGCGACTAGCAGTATCGATGTCTGGGATAATGTGAGGATGATCACCTTCTCTGCACAATGCTGAAACTCTCCAGCGTGAAAACATGATTGGAGCCGGTGACTCATTTTTGGTTTCTCACCCGCCTGCAATACCGCCTACCCAGCAAGGGAAGCATTCACACACACACACACACACACACACACACACACACACACACACACACATAAACCTGTTCCACGTTCCCACAGTAAAGTTGATGTGCTACCATTGCGGCCCTGAAGAGCTTCTTCTTCTTGACACCTGCCGTATCTTCCGTGTCACCGACAAAAAAGAAAGAAAAAGCTGAGAAACTCCGTAACGAGCTCGCTCTGGTGACTCCAATCTCTGAGCAGCGAGACATGCAGGAGCACTGTAGGAAACTGGAGCACACGCAAATAAAGGAGCTATTAGCGCAGCGATGACTGAGCGTGCATAATGAATACAGTTTCGATGAATGCCGGATACCCAGCTGACTCTGGTTTCCTGGAAGGAACCCTTGTTCAGCTCTTTTCCACTAACCCATTGATGAATTCTACCAAAAGAGAAAAAAACAACCCTCGTTCCCATTTATAGCCGTTTGTCGGTTGCTCGGGTGGTTTTTCATTTTTTATTACAACGAGTCTCCTTTGTCGGCGGCTCCTCTCACAGTGAAGAAGAGGAAGCTACAGGAATGCCTCTGACTCGGTCAGACATGGACATCTCTTTGGCTTCAAAACAGGTCGCAGAACAAGTGAAGCTAGCAAATGTCTGCTGTGCACAATAAAAGGTTCTTGACTCACAACTACAATATATGAAGAGGGCCGGCTGCTAGCGGTTTGTTTGATGGGTGACAAATGAAAGAGGTTGATGATGCAGACTCTCATGTCTTCGTTAAAAAGCATTCACTTACTGAGTGAAAGTATTCATGACAAAAACAACAGTTTGAAACAATATATTGATGTGCGAATTACACAGCGAACATTTTTGTAAATGCCCCCGGTGTGTAAAGGCCTTTTAGGAAGAAAGTGTTATTCTAGACCCCCCAAAAAACTAAAATTGTGAACCATGATTGTTGCGAGTTGTGCTGCACCACATCAACCCTGGCCCTTTAGGAGCCTCGTGAGGAACCCTGGGTGGGTTCTTGTTAGCACTCTTAGAAGATGGAAAGGTTCCGCATAGAACCTCTAGCGAGGTGCACAGTATGTATGTTAAGTTCTCGGTGTAGATACGTCACGTCTTTCATCTGCCGCAACATGTTGCATGGGATAAGAACAAACAACACGTACTAACGGGGGGGGGGGTAGGACACATGAGGAATCACACAGCGGGTTAGCTGCAGTGTGGAACTGGCTGATCTCACATTGACCCCCATGGAGACGTACGGGCCCCGACCTTACTGCTGCTGGTTGCAGATTAAAGATGGACAGTTGGGTAAGGTCATATGGAGATATCAAGCAATAAACACTTTAGCTTTTAGCTAGCATCTGTTGCCCTGCAGGTCAACCTCAAGCAGCAACAACAACAACAACAACATACTGCCCCGGTGATGGCAGGTACACTTGTGTGTGGTGTCAGTTGCTCTACAGCTCCAAATCCAATTCATTCTTCTTTGTTTTGGTGCATCTGTCCATCTTTCTTAACACTTTCGCCACAGCTTTAACAAAGTATTTTTATATGAATTTTACCAAAACAGTTTATTATATTTTTGAATGCTCTTATTGGTAGTAATGTATTATATTCAGTTTGGAGTGAGGTAGTATGTAGTTTAAATGTAGTCCTGAACAGGATTACATAAACAAACCTCTTAAGGAAAACAAGGATTTTTAAAATTTATTATATACAGTCCATGCTTATGAGCCACAGGTGTGAGTATGCGGTTAAGATAGCAGGTTGGCCTCTCAGCGCGGTGAGTACCTGTGCGTGGTTTAATGCATGTGTGCTCTGCTATCCTTAAAAAGACTCCTCTCCCAACACGCCGACGTGAACGCGCCCTGAATTGGAGAGAGTTGGTGTGAGGTTATGAATGAGCGTGGGAGTGTTGGGAGTCCAGCGGAGTGGGACGAGTCATACCTCTGGTTTTCGGCGTTTCAGGATTTCTTTTCTTTTCTATTTCCTCCACATTGCTTCGTGCGCTGCCGAAACAGAGGCCCTGCGGGGACACAGAGACGCTCAATTATTCATCGTCGCATTCAATAAAACATGAATACCAGCCACACGTGGCAGCCCCCGCCATTCACACTTCTTCCCCAAAATGGGTCAAACTTTTCCCACAATGCTTTGAGACGACGTCAACCTCTAATGGTGACGCTCTTTTTTTTTTATTACTATTATCATGGTGATAAAACACGAGACAGTGTGATAAAAAGTAGAGAGGAACAGGTTCGATACACACAGATCTCTCCAGCTGGAATAAATGACCACTCAGAAGAACAAAAACAGAAACATGTCGCCATTGTGGCCGTAATATTTCAATTGGTAAACAACAGGTTGCTGCCGGCTTGAATCAAAAGCCTGCGTGATGGCCCTGTTTTCACTGCCTCTCCAGCAGGCGGGTGGATTTTCAGAAAATCCATTGCTCACCTCTCCAGGTGTGAATGAGGAGATGCTATTAAATGTAGGGCATCACAAGCAGGCTTGACAAATTAAACCAAAAAAAACACTCCATGCCATCTGGTAGTGGACTCGACAATTCATCTTTTCATTTCAACACACTGGGATCTGGCGTCGCGGCTGGTGTGATGATCCAATCTCAAGATGGTCGGTCTCTAGTTTGCTTTTGTATCTTAAGCGCTCATTTTCCTTCACATGACTCATTCTTGTTCTCTCATTAAATCATACGCATTAACTTTATGTTACGTGGGGAGTCGGAAACTGTGTAATTGTAAGTTCTTCTTTCTCTGTCATTGATGCTGTATGTACTATTAAAACTGTTTTGTGGAAATGGAAAAAATTAAAAGGTATTTTTTTTTTTTTTTTTTTAAAGCATTTATCTGACAGAGAGTATTCTCTAACTCCTACAACACAAATGTAAATCTCACAACTGTGAGCTAAACCACAGAGGACGTATCTGGCACGCTATAAGGCGACCTTCATTCACAAGAACAAATCTCCACCGGGCGTGGACGAACTTTAACGGTGGCTGCCGGCTCTTCGAACTGACAGCAGAAACACACAATGCAGTCATTGTGCAGCAGCAGGGCCGTGTGTGTGTGTGTGTGGGGGGGGGTTAACTGCACCTCCTAACCGCCCTTTATTTACAAAAGACGCGCCGTCGTCGCTGCCAGATATGTTAGAGCCCCATTAGCTGCTGATTTGACTTTAAAAAGCTCAGCCCCACTAATCTAATTGAATCTGTCTCTGTGGTTTCTGCCGATTGCCGGAGCAGCTCGCGCTGTATTGGGTGCTGCGAGTGCACGCGGGCTCCAGCGATGTGATGCAAACTGTTTGTTCAGACGCCCACGTGGAAAGCTGCTGCCGCTGCTGGTTTGTGCATGTCGGGGTCTGTTACATGATCACTTCCTGTTATTGGTTCACTTGGCAAATGCCGACTGATTTTGTAATCACAAGATCAATACGCGTGAAGCGGTGCATGATGGGTAAGGAGCTGAAAGAATATACATTAGTCTGTGTGCATCAGTCCTGTTATTTGGCAATGTAGACGAACATGTGGAGTGGAGGGTCATGAAGACTTTCGCCAGATATAAGCCGTCATCACGTACCCACACACACCCACAGTAGAAGAAGAGACAGAGGAAATGAGCAAGAGAGAGAGAGAGAAACAAAGCGAAGATAATGAGGACAACAGGATGAGACACTTGAGACGGCTTGAGTCTATTTTCTCAGAGGCTTTAATTCAGCAGGTCGGAAAGCACCTTTTAACAAAACAAGCGTTACTACAGGGGGATGAGTGAGCATTCAGTAGTGCTCACATGTTCAGCCAGAAACACAACTGCTTTTTCACTAGGCGTCTATTTTTGGGGATTCTGTGCACAAGAACTGTGAGGGTTACCCAAAATACTCGAGCTGATCTCAGTGTGTGTGTGTGTGTGAGTGGAACGTGTGATTTAAGTCTTCTTTACCAGCAGAAAATTGCCATTTGGCTGCTCCGCATGTCTGCGTCCGCTCTGTGGCCCCCGTCATCTCTCTCTGTCGCCTGATGCAGTCATGGCGACGGGGCTCCCAGCAGGCTTTGCTGTGAGTTCCGTGGGGCCCCTGACACCCGGAGGGATAGCTGACTCTCTCTTTTCATCAGCAGTCCACTCCCAATAAAACATAATGGCGCTGAGGTTGCGGAGGGGGTCATTCAGCTACGCGGAGCAGTCACATGACCGGCCCGAGGCACAACGGACTCAGTCATTCTGCTGGGACACATGAGTGGGACTGAAGTGAGAGACACACAGCAGCATCCACAGAGAAGACCCCACAGTGAGCGACAGTGGGCAGGAAGGCACTGCATGTGCTCCACAGTGCAGCCAGAGTTCAAGAGGAGAAATCAGGCTTTGTGCGGATTCATTTCATTTCCCCTATTTGCCTAATAGACCCACGTACCCACCGGGACTGTGAGCTGCCAACATTAATATTTCCAGTCTTTCATTAAGTAAAATGTTTGTATATGGCATTCAGTGAAGGATTATTTTTAATCAATATAAACATGCATAAAATGACTGAATGTAGGCCAAAGACACACGGCACATATGAAAAGCAACAGGCAGCTAGCTAATGTTAGCAGTGATAGCTACGCCAACTTCTACAAAGCTGACCGAGCATCAGCCGTGCTAATGGTACCAACAGTGCCAAAATTGGTAATTTGTGACGATTTTGTCGTTTTTATTCCATGCATTCTTCTTCCTGGTCAAAAAACGTGGCAACTGCATTACCTACAACAGAACCCAAACGCTGAAAGTTCGGTCGGAGATTCCGGTGTGCTATGCTAGTAAGCTAATGCTAGTATTCTCTTAAAGATGAATATTACCGCAGAGTAACAACAGCCATTGCTGTAAAGTGGAGCGAACTTCTCACAGATCGTTCTACTTAAGGAAACATAAGAGTTTTGCACAAAAATCAAAGTTATGAGGGCAAGTGTGTTGTGTGGTTTACTTCACATGTCAGATTAAGACAGCAGAAAGACTATCTGGTATTGTCTTTATATGCTTTGCTCCAGTTAGCTTCAAATTCATAAAACAAAGAAGAAAAAACAACTTGACAAAACGTAACTCGATTTTTTTCTCTAAATGAAAATTGCAAAAGGGCTGGTACTCCTCCAAGAAACTCCCTGATGGAAGTCAAGTGGTAGTGCAGGAGGAGAGGAGACAAGCAGGAAGCCTCTCTGAACAGGTTTGCAGAAGCCACTATCTCAGAGACGTTGTCACGACTCCCTCACCGGCTTCCCACCTCAGCCACTCAGCATCTTAGAGGGCCCCGGGGCCACTCACTGAAGGGGCCTTCTGCTGGGAAATCAACCCAAGTCTCATGGTGTTGGGCGACTGCTTTCCGCTCCGCGCCTCGCACAGTTTAACACAAAACCCGCCGTCAGCCGCCCACTTCTGGTTCATTTCGGGGCTAGTCTCTGAAGGGTAAGTAGGGCACTCTGCCGTCTCAATAGGAGCTGCATTTGCAAAGCTTACAGCTGCGGGCTGCAGCCTTTACATGGATTTAGAGCAACCTTGCAGACGGTGGGGTGGCTCGGTAATGATAATATCTTCAGCCGCCTGTGGTTCTCTTTGTTTTTTATGAAACATTGTCGTGGGGTTCATGGGTAAAGATATGACATGCCGGCACGCTAATTAAATCCAGATCGTTTCATCCCCGTTCCCATGAGCCCTGACGGAGGTGATGTGATTGGCAGGTCAGGCCTGAGAGCCCTCGCCGAGAGGCTGACTGACAGACGCTGCTGAGGAGTGGATTAAAATGGACTCTGTACTGTAGATGCACTGGCTGTCTGCACACAGGCCTACGCTACGAAAGAAAGAGAGAGAGAGAGAGAGACAGACAGAGGGAGAGAGGGATTTGCCAGGTGATTAAAGTGTTATGGAGGAAGCAAAAAGTAGGGCGTTTTCTTTCCCAGATCAAGAACGAACACTTCAGAAACACCGAAAAGCGTCTGTTTGTAGGAAGACAGAATTCATCAGATCAAACTTCGATTTCCTGATGCAGTTTATTCTACCTGAGTGAAGCAAAAAAACATTTAAAGCTCCCTTTTGAAATCGGTGGAACCTCCAGAAAGAGACACTTGTGAGACCTCAGGACAGTGGAGTTTGTCCCCCATGTCTTACATTGTGATGATGTTAAGAAGGGGTCACTTCACAGCCAGTAAAGATAGGGAGAGTAATTACAGTGACCGAAAACTCCTTTATTCTACCAATAAGTTGTATTTATTCAAACCAATAACGGCAGAGACTAAACTTTTGAAAGGTTTGAAACATGATACGCTGTGGTAATCAGTTCTGTGATTACCTGCCCGGAGGAGAGGCTGACGGCAGCCCTCTTAGCTGCAATGCAAGCAAGGTGCTGTCGGCTCTTGTTATGGCAGCCCAGCAACCTTTTCAGCCCTTGAAAAATGACCCAGTTTTTTATCCGCCTTGCCCTCAAACTTGCTGCAGACTGAGCAATATATACTCAGAGTTTCGCCCACATCCTCTTTTTTTCTGCTCCCCACCATCTCCTCAGGAGCGACCTATCCGTACTCCGAATTGTGCAACTAATTACATAACTATCACCGCGTCAAAATCGATTAATGGAAGGAGCCAACGATGAGAAAACCTCGCTTTTTTCTCCCTCATGTCTGTTGAGAGTTGCACATGTGCAGTACTGATCAGACAGTTGCTAGCGGAGAGTTTGACATTAGCCAGTTAGCTAGCAGAATATCAAACAAATATTTTACACTGGACAATCCCATCAATAAACCGGTGACATGTACAGTATGTACGGCTTTAGTTTGTATATTTGGGGGTTTAAAGCTGAGCCAGGCCATAAAACATGACAGAGAGTCTTTTATCATGAAGCATAATGCAAAACATTACCAGTGGAAACACTTTATACCCAAAATGTGCATAGCAGGAACACCTTATTTGACCTTGGGGGGTTATTTAACAGGTGACAGAGCATCCAGAAGACGAAGCTCTGCAACATCGCTGGCCCAGGTCTGGCGTG